TGAAAAAAGGCCGCATCAATGTTTTTATCCCAATTCAAAGTTTCCAAAAACGTTATAGACAATTCAAAAGGGCCGAAAATTGCTCTATATCTCTGTTGCCAGTGCGCCATGCGGTTTTAACAGTTAAATGTTTCTCAAAAATCGTGCCCGTGACATGTAAGTCGATTTTGCTCTACTAGTCTAAGGTCCGAGCTAAAATTTAAAAAAAAAGTATAGTACGCAATACGTTCGGTAAACTTTTTAACTCACTTGTTTATTTCAAACAGTCGCTCCGCTCGTATCAAATAAACTCGTAAATCAAATGCCGTTTACCGCACTTGTTGCATAATATACTATTCTGAATTAAAAAATTCAAAAATATTTTTTTTATTGACATAAGAAAATTTTTTCTCCACCATTTTTGTTTTCACGAAGTAACTCGAATATCTCAACTGAATCGAAATTTGATGAAAGTAAATTCAAACTCTGAAATGTTAGTATTTTTTTTTAATTGTATAGAAACTTTATGCATTATTATTTGAGATCAGACGCCTTTAAACATTAAAATAAAATTATACAACTCCCGGCGATTCTGGTGCTGAATAATTTATTACTGTTATTTGTATGATCACTTATTTCATCTCCGCCAAGCTTTTAAAAACTGTTTTATTACAATGTATTAAAAAATCATCTTATTTACTACAAAACACAGCTCTATAGTTAGTTAATTATTTCCTAGCATTGTATCCTTTTCTGCCACGAGAAGTAGGTACGTGCAGTCTTTCTTTGTCTTGGACTAATCGGAATTTTTTTCATTTAAATGTCTTACAACTAGCATCTATGACCAATTTTTTTAAGGCAACCTTATACTATATTATTATTTAAATTGCTTTTATTTAAAAAAAAACAAATGAGTGGAATTATGGGAATTAGGGACCGAAAAAGGTAAGCTTTCCGTTTCATTTCAATTTTTTTTCATTTTAATTAAAAATATTCTTGAACTTGAACTTGAAAATATCAAGTGATCTTCAGAAACTTATTTTATTTGATAAAATGTTAATTTTATTTAGTGGACACTATAGTGAGGGTCGATCTAAATTCGGATCCTTTCATATATCTAGTTCATATACAAACACTGCAATTACAATCACCCTGTATTTCTATTGCGATTTCTCATATAACACCGTGTCGAATTAATCGTCGGCCGTCGTCCGGCACGCGAGGGGCGGAGAGGTTAAAAATAAAATTCATTCGTTTAAAAAATCATCGATTTAGTGCAAGTCTTCGCGATTGCACCGACGTTCGATGGCGCGGGACTGCGGGACTCGGGGGGAAGCGCAAACAGCGGCCGACCGGCCGAACCAATGGCGGTGCATCATCGGCGGCCGATCCCGCCTTTTATAAATGCGCCTCTTATGTTTTTATTTGTTCTTTTATTAGTGTTTTATGGCCCCTCGCCCCCCCACCCTCTCATGAACCGCCACGAAACTGCACCGATGACGGAGAAGGATTGAGAGAGCGCATTAATTTACAGGCTGAATTAAATTAAGTGTTCATCATTGGTAACTTTGTTATGAGTATAAATGCAAAGTAGGTCAAATTAGTAGTATTTTTCACTCATTACGACGGCGAAAACAGAAAAAAAATTGAATATGTGGTTTGGGCAAAAAACGACGAAAATGTAAACTCCACTTTTCTTTTATTGATTTATTTGAGCGTAAGAATTATGGACATAAAAAAAAAACAGAAGAAACACTGAGAAAACTAATTAGTTTATGATCAATTATTAAAGTTAATTTTTCTACTCCGTCTGTACACACCGATCTAGCGTGCGGGAAGCGTCATTACCATGTCAGTTTCGTTTCCCACGGATCCGAGTCACTTCGGACATTTCCGGGATTTTACCGCACGGGTTTGGGAGCAATCGGATGTTTTCGGAGATTTTACCGCACGCCTTGAATTTTGACGTTTGTCAGTCCTGACGGTTATGTCAGGGAATCGATTCGTGTTTTTTTGCAAAAATGTACGCAAAAGCTAATACACAGAAAAATGTTATGCATACAGTTAAACAGAAACTTTTTTTACAGTTTTTATATTAATATCTTGTTAAAACCAATTGTACCATTGTCCACGTCTCATCAGTACCAACAAAACAAAATTAAAGGTTAAGACTCGGCTTTTTTTGCTAATTCGACCTTAAAAATTTAATTCTCTTAAAAGCTCCATCCTTGGACAATTTCTCTTGCAATTACAGTCTTTTTTTTTTAATAAAACGTAAATAAACAACATAACGTTTTAAAATTGTGTTTATTCCGTTGTTTATAGGACATATTCAATAATACATCTCTTTCTGTCTAACGCACACAGTTAAAAAGAGACAATAGCAGAACCCATCGGAACGATAAACGAATAGGTTTGATAGCAACTAGTAAATATTTTGTTGGAATGGTACGAAATTTTGTAATCCGATAATCCGTTATTATTTTTAATTTGTTAAATTGTGACTCTTCGTGACGGTCGTAGAAAAGATATAGTATGCAACGTTTAGTAAACTCTTTATCTCACTCTTTTATTAAGCACTAGCTCCGCTCGTGCCAAATAAACTCGTGAGTCGAATGCCGTTTACCACACTTGTTGCATAATATACTATTAAGGGGTGTTCAACAACTAAGCGAACAACTACAACTACTAAGCGAATGGCCTTTGATAACGTTCTACCGTATATCTGGTTTATATTTTCTCTTATTGCAACCTTTAAAATGTCAACATGTTAAATAACCCCACAAGTAGAAATCAAGTTGGGTTATATCTGGTGACCTAGGAGGCCAAGGAATAGGCATTTGTAGCAATTCATTTTTTGTTGAAACTGGTTGTCAAAAATTGATATGTGCCTCGGAATTTATGAGCTGTTGCGCCATCTTGTTGGAAATGCAAATTCTGCTTCTTATAAGGTCACGCTCATCTAAAAAACCATCCAGTAAAAATTTGGACCAACAATTCGAAAACCGATTATACCGCACCAAACTTTAAAGCTGAAATGGACTTGTGGACTTGGTGGATCTACTAGCAATAAATTTTCTCTTGACCAATAATGACGAATTTTTATATTATAAATAGCAGAATTTGAAAAATTTGATTGGTCAGTCCACAACATATAACGAAAATTATTTATGTTTTGGAGGCAAAAAGTTCACATATCAATGAGAAAAAAAGTCTTCTCTCTGCATTCCCTGTCAAAAGCGCCTGGTCGGAATTTAAAAGGGCAAAATTTGTGTGCGTTTTTTTTTTTAAATATTTAGACAGTTATAAAGGTTAGAGTTTTTGAATTTTCACGAAATGCTTCAAAATATTCAAGAGCATCAATTTCTCAGTCTTCATTTATTACGTTATTTTTTCGTCTCCTTCATTTGCAAAAACTGTTTCATTATTTTTAAAGATTTGATAAAGGCGTAGAAAAAATTGTTTAAAGAAGGCTGTGCAAGATAATGACACAGTTCATTTATCTCCCTAAATAGCCCTTTTTAAAATATCTCCATCCGAACATTATGGAAACTAAACATTGATAACGATAAAACAAACACAAAATTAATTGAAATAAATGTTCATAATTTCGGATACGATCAACCACATTTTCCGGAGTAGTAGAACGAATTTGATAGACAATATCTTTTATTCTATTCCAATAGTTTGTATAAGTCTGGTCTAAAGAACTCCTAAGTTCGTGAGAAAAGTGTGATGGACATTCATTGTGTTTGTAAAGGAACGTTTTGTAATAAAATCATCAAGTGGCTTCTTAAAAAGTTCAAATAAATTTGGCCATTAACTTTTCTATTAGAAAAAGGTGATTCTATAATCCGATCACACAAAATACCACACAAGATGTGATAATTGACACACAATATTGAGGATTTACTGGCGACCATTAATGCATATTATACAAATTACCTCCGCCATTGCTCGAAAAAGTAACATGTCTTATGATTCTGCGGTCGAATAAGACATTTATAATGCAAAAAACACAATCACAGTGAGAAAATTCAAACGTTAGATAAATCTAACCGTTTACTATTTAAAGCACTAGAGATTTTGACAAGCATCAATTAACTGGTAAATGGTCAAATTTCCCAGTCTAAAAAAGCGAACTATTATTGTTGGGTTTATTTTGCCAGCTTCTTGTCGAGTATCTTGTTTACACTTATTTATTTTTACAATTACAAAAGAAACAAAGCTCAACAATAATACGTTCTTCCACTTCGACGCATGTCTCTTGTCTAACTAATGGATTGTTATGTCTGCATCGCGCAACTGAGATCAATCGGCAGCGCTAATACATGAACAAAAATGCCCTATATTTTCGCCTTTTTTCGTCACAGTTACCAACAAATCTACATAGCTGAAAAGGACTCGGCACGGCCATTTTTTTAAAACCATAGCCAACTATGATTGCCATATAAAATAAAAAGGTTGACTGAGTACGCTATTGTTTTTGCCTTAAAAAATGCCCTAATGCTTTTATCTAAATCCAAAATTTTCACAAATAAAAAAGTTATGGGCAATTTTGTTGGTAGTGAAAATATCGCCATGCCGATTTAGTCCTTAAATGTCTAGTTCAGAAATAGGTTTTTCATGTTAAAATACTCCAACACTGAAAGTGACAAATACAATTTTTGTTTAATAAAAAACCTCTAACGTGGATGTTTTTGAAAATGCAAAATTCGATTAATTGTGATCGAAAGGACCATTGGTTGCACACTACTGTGGGAATCTAAAGTCTAACGTTTAAATCGCCTGGATAATTAATAAAACAAAACACCAGTAAGTTGCGATTTATTGGGGGACGTAGACATATTCAATTTGATTAAAAATGTAACGGCCCGGATTTTTGGGATCTTTGGCCTCCAAAATGACTCGTTCCCCTTTTTCATCAGGAGCAACTACTCTGTTTCTGCATTCCATCGGCATATGAGAACACTTGAAAATCTCGGAAAGTACGTTCTGGCTTCATAAAAATAAGATCTCTTATTACATCCACCTCTTACGGACACATCTCGCCTGAAAGTAGAAGCGCAATTAGAAATCGGTTAAACACTTGTATGACAATCTCAACTATTACACTAACCAATAGGGCGTCCTTCACGATAAATTCGCCTTTGAAATTTTAGTTGCTCCTAATTCAGCGAGCAAAATGGTTCAAAGTAGGCATTTATAATGTCTACTTTGAACTGGGTTATTCATTATATTTTGACACCCACATACAAGGTTAATTTTGAAAGATAAAAAAAAATTGTAAATACGAAAGTTTGAATATTTTTGCTCTATTGTCTTATGCAAAACAAACGACGATTGCAAGCTGTCGAAGTGCAGCAGCATCATTTTTTTTAAATGGAATACCCTAGGCAGCTTAAATAGTAGATCTATTTTTCCTGATTTCCGAAACATATAGTTTATTGACATTTTGATCTAGTCGTTTTGAGATATTTCAGTTTACAATAATATAGTGCGAATAGGCCCAGATAGGATATAAGGCACTTTTACTAAAATAACGCTTTTAAAAAAGTTTGGTTAGTTTTCCAATAATGCCAAAACATAACTTGTGTTCCAACGGGGAGACATAATATGGTCATACGCACATGAGATGGAGATGTTTCGAAAGCGAAGATTTTAAAATTTGCAATTATTATATAACTCGGCGAAACTGGTTCGTTCCGTTTTAAGATTGTAAGTAAAAAATCTGGAAATATGCACAGGACTAATAGTAGTGGGAACCGGAGCAACCAAATCCACAGTTTGTAGAGTTTTTCACCAAAAAAAGCTTTATCCATATCAATTCAATCAATCCAATATCTCTTAAGGCGAGATTCTCTAGCCAGATTGGAATTTGGTCGGTTATGTGGGATCTGGCAAAACGCCAACCCAATGTTTCTAAAAATAATATGGATGCGTGGGATCTAAAAAATCACCATTTGACAACTGAACGTCATTTCCAGCAGGCATTTAAAATAAACCTTTGGTGCAGCATAGTTGATAATTAATATTAGGACTCATCGAACTACCAAGACGGCGAGCAGTACCTTAAATTTTTGCAAACCCTCTTCGTCCATTGTTTGGATGATTTATCTTCAGAATGAACAAGAACAATTGTTTCCATGCAAGACGGCATTCCGACACATTTTTCAAAACATGTTGCAGACTACCTAAGCAATCAATTTTCTTATCATTGGATTGGTCGAGGGAGTCAAACACCTTGGACGTCTAGGAGTCTAGATTCCAATCCCCTTTGATTTCTGTGTTTGGGGATACCTTAAGTCGCTAGTGTATGAAGAAGTAGGTCATACCCTAGATGAATTATGGCACGGGATTAAAAATGCCGCTGAATCATTTCGAAACGAGGAATTATTATTTAAAATCAGTCAGTCGTTCAATAAACGTGTCTATAAATACATCACAGTGAATGGAAATCATTTTGAACATCTATTGCTGAATAGAAATCTTTTTTATATGAATAGTTTTTCTATTTTACCTTAGTTTAAAATTAAATTTGTGGAAAATTGAACTGAGGTGGCTTTTACTTGATGGATATCCATTTATCAAAATAAATAAGAACTAAAAGTTCAGATTTTCACGAAATTATATATTATGACATAACAATTGTTTCGACAACACCGTGTCTTTATCACATTTGATAAAGACACGGTGTTGTCGAAACAATTGTCATGTCAATTTCGTGAAAATCTGAACTTTTAGTTCTTATTTATTTTGAATTAAATTTGTATTTCCATAAAATTGTTTCATTGGCGTTGAAGAGGTATACCTGTTTTGTGTAAAATCTTTATTAAAAATCTGCGTACACTAAGGTGCAAAAAAGTTAGGAAGTATTAAATGCACGAAAAGTACCATACGTATTCACGAAAAACACCAGTTTGCCAAATTTTGCGAAAAATTAGAAATTATTAAAAAAAAATCAAAAGTGAAATTGCACCCTGTATTTCGGTTAGTATCAACTTTTGGGCTAAGGTAATTTTAAACGTTTGCGGCCTTGCCGCTTCTTTGAAAAAGTGGCATCAGCATTGAAATTTTTAATTAGGGCACCATGTATATTATTGCGCAGAAGTATGTAGAGTAACAAAAATAAACAGGAACATAAAAAACATAGCGTGGTGGAATGCAGACATCAAAAAAGAAATTAGAATAAAAAACAAAAATGGAAAAAATATATAGAACTAAAAACAACGACAGCTATCAGGGGTATAAAATACAAACAGGAAAAGTTAAGCAGATACTGAAAGCGAAGAGAAAAACATGGGAAGAGTTTGGAAATTAAATCGAATCGGACCATACCAACCAAAAATTCTTCTACAAAACGCTAAAAAATATGAGGACCAAAGATAATCTCGGAACTATAAAACCAATAAAATACAACGATATAATCGACAGGTGGAGAACATATTTCCAAAGTTTATTGAATAACAGCAATGAAGAAGATGATGAAATTGAACAGGGCACTGGCGACATGGGCACGAACCACTACATAGGGATGGACGAAATAAAATGCGCTCTAAGTAAGCTAAAAAAGGAAAGCTGCTGGACACGATGAGATCACGGGGGAGATGCTGAAAAATATGGGTGAAGTGGGATGTCGAGTGCTAATAAGAATATGCGACTTAGCGTGGCAAGAGGGAAGCATTCCCGACGATTGGAAAATCGGAGTCATTGTGCCAATATTTAAAAAAGGGGATACCAGAGATTGTAGTAACTATAGAGGAATAACATTATTGAGCATACCATCGAAATTATATGAGCGAGTCTTACAAGAAAAAGTCCTGAATCACAACTAGAACAATCTTAAATCGGATTCAGGATAGGAAGAGGCATACACGACCGCATCTTCAAAATAAAGCAATGATAACACTATATTCCGGGATATCATCCGTTCGCTTGTTATATTAACGCCCCGCTCTATCACTGCATATTTTGGAAGTGTATATATATATATATATATATATATATATATATATATATATATATATATATATATATATATATATATATATATATATATATATATATATATATATATATATATATATATATATATATATATATATATATATATATATATATATATATATATATATATATATATATATATATATATATATATATATATATATATATATATATATATATATATATATATATATATATATATATATATATATATATATATATATATATATATATATATATATATATATATATATATATATATATATATATATATATATATATATATATATTCTCACGTATTGATTCACGGATGGAAAAATGTGATGACACTATATTCCGGGATATCATCCGTTCGCTCGTTGAACTCCGACTGGAATCCTGCATCCGACTGGAATCCTGCAAATCTTGCATCCGACTGGAATCCTGCAGACGTTTCGCCAAAATCTCACTTGGCATCTTCAATGCTCGCGTTCCGAAAACACTTCGAACACGAGTGTTCGAAGTGTTTTCGGAACGCGAGCATTGAAGATGCCAAGTGAGATTTTGGCGAAACGTCTGCAGGATTCCAGTCGGATGCAAGATTTGCAGGATTCCAGTCGGATGCAGGATTCCAGTCGGAGTTCAACGAGCGAACGGATGATATCCCGGAATATAGTGTCATCATATATATATATATATATATATATATATATATATATATATATATATATATATATATATATATATATATATATATATATATATATATATATATATATATATATATATATATATATATATATATATATATATATATATATATATATATATATATATATATATATATATATATATACATATATTCGAACACTCGTGTTTTCGGAGCGCGAAAGACAAAGGAAGGTTATTCAGCTATGTAACTTGAATTTTCTCATAAATTGCCGCAACCAGAATTTGCTGCTAACGTTTACAAGGTTGTCTTACCACACACGGAGCACAAAGACTCAAGCTATCCTGGACAAAGCTGCTAAGGCCCTATTTCAACAAAAATGAAAATATTGTGCAAAATTTGAGGAAATTTTGAATCAAGCAATATACAAACCGGTCACCAGAGATCAGACGACCTATTTGGAATAAAACAACTCAACAAGTCCAAAATTCTCGAGTCATCAATAAAAGAGGATACAAAAAAGAAACTTATACCAAGGGAAAAATCGAGCCATTGTCCAAAGATACATAAGGACGGGATTCCCCTGCGTCCAATCGTGAGCGCCTTTAACTCGCCAGTATGCAAGCTGGAGAAACATTTAGCCAGTGCACTGCAACCCATAGTGGAAAAGGCAGAATCCTATGTCAAAAATTTAGAAAATTTTACTCAGATTTTAGGGTCGGTCAGGATGGACAAGGACGATATTATGGCAAGCTTCGATGTCAAATCCCTATATCCGAGCATTCCAGTGGAGGAGGCAGTCCTGCTTATAGAAGAGAACGAAGATCTTCCGCCGTATATAACGGATCTGTCAACACACTGCCCGGAAAATGCTTACTTTACGTACAATGGGAAAATATATCGACAAGTGGATGGAGCAGCAATGGGATCATCTCTATCCCCTGTGATTGCTAACCTCTTCATGATTTACTTCGAAAAGAAATCAATAGAGGCAAATCTGAGGCCAAACTTCAGGGGGTTGCATTGTCCATACATAATCAACAAATTAGCATTAGAATATTGGTTTCCTTCCATATTGAACCGATTTTATAGACAAAATTTGCAAATTTGGTGTGTGTGTGTGTGTGTGTGTTTTTTTTTAAAGAGGGGGGAATCCTTTTTACGGATTCCAGGGATAGATGTTTCGCCTGGATATGTGAGACTCGACACTGCGTTATATTAAAACTCGGCTCTAGTGCCCCTACTTACTAAACCCTAAAACCTCTTGTCTTCTATCCTCTCATCCCCCGCGGACCCGCCATTTAGGCATTACATCGCAGAGGGAAGAATTAGCTGCTGCTCTTCCTTCTGGTAGCTAAGATTTTATATCTTCTTCTTTATTCTAGTGGACGACATTTGTTCTTCTCCTTTCAATGGAACGCAGTTCCGTAAGGACTTCCGTGACAAACGAATTAATAGCGTTGCAGGCAGCTTCTGATGACAGCATTGCTGCTACTATTGTCTCTGGTTGAAGTTCGTCTCCAGCCCGTCTCGTTGTGGATCAAATCGTGGGCACTCAAACAAGACGTGCTCCGCGTCTTCACTGATTCCTGGGCAGGACGGGCATTCTGGTGAATCATCATGCTTGAAGCGATGAAGATACGTCCGAAAGCATCCATGTCCTGATATTATCTGCGCCAGATAATAGTTGGCCTCGCCATGATTCCGGTTCAGCCAAACGTCGATCTTTGGTAACAGACGGTATGTCCATCTTCTGTTTGTTGCGGCATCCCATTGCGATTGTCATCGTGTGATGCTGTTCTGCCGTTCTTCAGCTCTAAGTTCCTCGGTACTTAGTGTGGTTGACCTCTTTCGTTGGTAAAAGTTCCGTCTTTCCTCAGCTAGAATTCTGAGTGGCAAAGTTCCGGAAATGACACACACTGCTTCCTCCGATATAGTGCGGAAGGCGCTGGCTACTCTTACAGCACTTAGACGATATACTGGTCCAACCTTTCTCCATGACTCTTGCAGTTCCAACGCATCTGCCCAAATGGATATTCCATAAGTAAGCACCAATGTGACAACTGATGATAGTAGTAGTCTTCTGCTCTGCTTTGGGAGGCCGACGCGCGCGCGCGCGTGTGTGTGTGTGTGTGTGGGTGCGCGCGCGCGTCGGTTTATGTTGACTCGAACTAGCTAATGTTTCGCCAATTGTCCTGTTGCCTTCTTCAGAGCTTGACTGAACCTGGCTTGCATTTTACTCTGTACCTACTTTTATATTGTTTGAGGGGGATTAAGATTGTTAGGTTGCCGAAGCCGGTTATACAATTTTATTCGATAAAACTAAAATTCTTGCATGTAATCAATTTTTCTACCAACGAAAAATCCGAGAGTCTATAGAAATCTATAAACAACCTAACAATCCTAACCGCGATTCAGGTCTCTACCTGTCAACAAGATGGAAATCAGTCATCCGAGACGGTGTTTATGCCCCTGATTCTCCGCTGCCTCAAACAATATAAAAAAAAGTACAGAGTAAAATGCAAGCCAGGTTCAGTCAAGCTCTGAAGAAGGCAACTGGACAATTGGCGAAACGTTAGCTAGTTCGAGTCAACATAAACCGACGCAGGAGGAATCCACAAGTTTTATAAAACGTACTTTATCATCCTTTAACAAGTAAAACATATTTAAACTAAATTTCCCTTGAAATCCCATTTCTTTTGTGGAATCAAGATTGTCGATAAACCAAAATTGTTAATTCCTTTTGAATGCGGACCAACAATATTTGACAAAAAGACACTATGTTAGCAAAATCATCAACACTCGGAGCCTGAACTTTGGTAAATTTAAATGGAGGCATCTCGTGGTGTACTACCATTTCTTCGGTTAAAGTAACATATTTTGGTAAAGATTGAGATTTTCTTAATTCTTGCGAATTTTCTCTTATTCATGTGTTGTAAATTAAGATACGTTTTATTAAAGGTTCTGGCTATAATGCAGTTGCATCGTCTACGCATAAACAAATTCCTTGTAGCAGTATCACAGTACTGGTTTTTATTCCATTTACAACCGATTTTATCGACAAAATTTTATTGAACTGTCAAACGGAAAATGAATTTTTGACAGAACTTTCCACAAGAAATGCTATTTACAAATCTTCTGAATTCTTCCTGCGTCGGTTGTTTCTAAATGAACTTACCGACGTTTCGCCCATCATCGTGTTGACTTCTTCAGAGCAGTTTCTGTTTTAGCTCTGAAGAATCTAACGGGATGATTCGCGAAACGTCGGCAAGTTTGATGAAGAATTAATCCAGAAGATTTGTAAATAGTGTTGAAATACGTTTTACTGGAGAAGCAGCGTTGCCGTAGCTCAGTAATCAATATGCCTAAGCGGCATTGTGTTTTAAAAAAGCCGTTTCCTGGCTTTTTGTTTTTGAAATAGGAAAATTGTAACTGTCGACCCAGTTTGCGATACTATTTAAATAAAATTATCCCATCGTTTACAGTTTTTCATTTGAGGCTAATTACAATAAATTACAAACATATAATATAAAATTAAATAATGAACTACCGCCACACCCTCTACATAATAACGGATTGTAGCCCTGGATCTTTTGTTCACAAATTTTTGCAGTGGAGTAAATGGTTTTCTAGAAAATATTTATTTGCTGAAACTATTCAAACCTCTAAATAGTAAACTAAGTCATCGCGTTTAGATTGAGCGCGAGATATAGCGATTTATATTTTTTCAAATATCCCGAGAAGCGTGTTTAATAGATAAAAATAGTAAATTTTGATTTACGGCAAATTATTTATTTCCGAAAAGAATATTGTTCAGAGTATTTTAGATATTTGTGAATATTTGAAAAACTCTGTATATAATCGAAAAACTGCTTATAACAAAAATTATAGTACCTGGTCTCCCGAAATTCCTAGCTCAAGAATAACGCCCATCGGGTTGGTAGTTTTCTAGACAACTTTATTTTTTTTGGAAGCCAAATCACAACAATCAGTTCCATCACGGAGCTAAGTCCCATATACGTGGCGAATTTCAAATCTGTTACATTTATCGTGTTTGGAAGCAATGTCCAAATTGATCTGAGGTAGCTTTTAGTTAATGAAAATCCATTTATCAAAATAAATAAGAACTAAAGGTTCAGATTTTGTGTGACATTTGATAAGGACACGGTGTTTTCGAAACAATTTTCATGTAAAAATATATAATTTCGTGAAAATCTGAACTTTTAGTTCGTATTGGTTTTAAATTTCAATGTCCAAATAGTTGAAACTCGAAAAAAAATAGATGTCCGCCGCGGTCCGACTGTTGCCAGGCGCAAAATTTGAATTTTTTTATTGGCTTACGGCCGTTGTTTATGAAAAGGTATCTCAGCCCTATTTTAACTTGTCAATGTTGGACCAACGAAGATTGCTTGCCTTGTGCTATATGTCTTGTCTTCCTTTATCGTGGTTAGTTCTCTCAGGGCCGAGTTAAGTTAATTTAAAATTACTAAGAATAACGGACCACTTCCTAAGTAGGACATAAAAACATATTTTTTATGCTAGCATATTTACATGTTAGTCAGGCTGATGAAATACTTTGCGCTAAAAATGTAAACGCCTGCCTCATCTTGAGTCTTCACCAATTTAAAGCCATATTTGCTTATGTATAATTGCGATTCAGCATGTTGGAGATAATATCCTCTGCCTGCAACGTATCAACCAAAGTAGTAAATTTTTAACAATTTTACGATTACATTCGATTCATATGTACAGGGTGAGTCAAAAGACTAAAGGTTGGTCGCAAGAGTTATAAGAAAAATGGTGAATGGCAAAGTTGTAAAGATTGTGAACAATTTAAAATTATTTTAAAATGTACACTGTGTCTCAATAAAGAGTGGCGAATAAAACATGTTTTTTTTTTGAAAACGGAACACTCTATTTTTAAAATTTGTTTTAAATTCGTTGTTAAAAAATACTAGCACTTGCAAAAAAATTGCGATAAAACCATTATTTTTAAAGGTATGCTGACCAAGAGTTGGATATTGGCCTAGTAATCTCAATTCGTAGTAGAATTTCACTTATGTGGTAATTTGAAGCTAGAAAATTTTCAGGTTGAATAGAAAACTCTGCTGACCAAGAGTTGGATATTGGCCTAGGAACCTGAATTCGTAGCAGAATTTTTTTTTGAATTGCAGAACACGCAGAGAGACGCATAGTACCTCTTTCAATCACTAGTGCTAGTTATTTCGATCGTGCAGTGGATACTGTTGGAATACAATACTTTGCGTGTTAGGTACATTTATTTGTATAAGTAATATGCAATACATATTGCGTTTACGTCTCTTTATCTTTGCCTCTCAGTACCGTAGGTATTGGTTTCACTTGCTCTCTGTACTTGACTGTCGTGTGCGCGTCATGTAAAAATGTGTGTTGTAACTTCTGTATAATAAACGGCCGGTTATTTTGTACGTACTTATTTTATTGGCAAACGTTGATACAAGTAACGAATTCCGCTTGTGCTTATCGCCCTGCAACAGGTTATGGGCCCAGGGCTTTGAACTATTGCCTTGCCGAATTTTTTTGTCGTTCTTTGTGTCGTTTATTCAAAATGGTTGCCGATGTAGGTTCCGCATTTTCTGCGATCGAAAAATTAAAAGGTCGAGAGAATTATAGCGATTGGCGATTTCAAATCACTGCTCTGTTGAAACATGATGGTCTTTGGGAATGTGTGACGGGGCAGATGGTTACTTTCGCGACTACTGACGAAACTCCAACAGCGGTTGCAGCACGCCGGGAGGCAGCACGTAAGGAAGAAAAAGCGTTATCCAAAATAATTCTTTCCTTGGACAAGTCAACGTACCCGCACGTGATGCAGGCGAAAACATCGATAGAAGCTTGGAAGGCTCTTGAAAAAGCCTTTGAAGACAAGGGACTTCATCGACGTCTGCGCCTTTTGAGGAATCTGTGTTCCATTAAGTTGAGTAATTATGATACAATCGAGGATTATGTTAATGAAATTATGTCTCTCTCGCAACAACTTAATTCGATAGGTAGACCTATTGATGATGAGTTTTTAGGTGTTGTTATGCTCCAAGGGCTCACTGAAGATTATGAACCGATGGTGATGGCACTTGAAAGTTCTGGAACTGACATAATCTCAGATTTTGTAAAGACCAAGCTCCTGCAAGATAAAAAATGGCAGAATGGTAAATGCTCAAATGGAGACACAGCACTGATATCAAAAACAGGTAAAAGGACTCCTTGGTGCTGGAGATGTCGCTCGAAGGGGCACTATAAAAATCAGTGTACCCAGAAACAATATAACCATCAAAATAACTTTCCTCATGCAAAAGTTAAAAACATGAATAGCAACTAAACTTTGTTTGCGGCTTTTAACATAAATGAAAGACATATTATACCAAATGTATGGTATATTGATAGTGGAGCTACTTCTCATATGCATTGTTACCTGTGCTGCCTGACAAAAATAAAGGACAGGAAATTATAGTTGCTGACAATGCTAGATTGTCTGTTGCCGGAACGGGAGATGCAGTTGTCAAGTTGCAGTAAAATGGCAGCGAAAGACGCATTTCAGATATAAAATATGTTCCTAACCTGGCTGTGAATTTATTAAGTGTTAATTCACTAATTTCAAAGGGTTTTAGTGTATCTTTTGATTCGCAGGGTTGCCGAATATTTAATTGCAAAGAATTCACCAACAGGGAAGAGTTGATAGCAACAGCAAGTAATGTGGATGGTTTGTACAGACTTGATACAATACCAGAAAGTGACATCTGTGCAAATACTGCAGAAGTCATATAATCGCAAATGCTGTGGCACAAAAGGTTAGGTCATCTTAATCATTTTAGCATGAAGTTGTTAAAAGAAGGTTTGGCCTCAGGAATTAGCTATTGTGATACTCAACCTTCATCCTTGTGTGAAAGTTGCATTAAAGGTAAGCATTCGAAGAAACCGTTCCCCAAAAATAAAAGTAATGGGGTGGCTGCGAATAAATTAGACTTAATCCACTCAGATGTAATGGGACCTAACGAAATAAAGTCCTGGAGTGGTGTTAGATATATTTTTACACTAATTGACGATAACACAAGAATAGTTTGCTGTTATTTTCTCAAAAGTAAAGATGAAGTTGCAGATTGCTTTAAAGAGTTTTGTGTTCGAGTCGGAAATGAAACAGAAAGAAAAATAAAAATATTACGAACTGATAATGGTGGTGAATACTGCAATCAGAATTTGGACAAGTTTTTAAAACAAAGAGGTATAAAACATGAGGTGACTGTTCCTTATACACCGGAACAAAATGGTGTAACCGAACGTTACAACCGCACAATAATGGATAAGGTGCGCTCAATGATGTTTGATACAAATTGTCCAAGCCAGATGTGGGCGGAGGCGGCGAACACGGCTGTCTATCTTATAAATAGATCACCAACTAAAAGGATCAAGGGAGAAACTCCGGAGGAAAGATGGACAGGCAAGAAGGTTGATCTTGGTCACCTTAGAGTGTTTGGCTGTACAGCCTTTGTTCGTGTCCCTGATGGAAAACGAGGGAAACTGGAACAGAAAAGCAAGGAATATATATTTGTTGGCTATTCTGATGTAACTGCAGGATATAGATTAATTGACCCCATTACTCACAAACTTCGAATTGCAAGAGATGTGATATTTTTGGAACAGAAAACTGTGAGTTTAGAACATCAAGCAAGTTCTCAGAACATCGGCGTTATTACCATGCCACTGGAGGGTGCAGAAGTTGGAATGGACCACAAAAATGGTAATGTAGAACTTCTTCGGCTAATGATGCGGCAAGTGATGTTTCAGAGAGCGAACCTTTTGAAGATGCAGAGAGAACTCTAGTTGACAAAGAAGACAGTTCTTGAGCAAGTTCCCCAGAAAAATTGGAGGAAAATGGTGTACCGTCTGATGACGGGACAGTTGCTGTGCTTGGACAAACAGGTGCTATGGAAGGGCGAATGAGTGATGTGCAACAGGCTCCTGATAGTGATGGGAATGTTACTGAGGACCGAAGGTACCCAAAAAGAATCTCTCGTAAGCCGACGTTTTTTAACGAATATATTTTGACCGACTCATCTGATTCAGATATTGATTTTGCTATGTTATCTTTAAATGTAGAGTCAGAGCCAGACTGTTTCCGGAGCATTGTCTGCACCAAAAAAAGATCAATGGATTCTAGCTATCCAAAGGGAGCTTAATGCTTTTAGATAGAATAATGCTTGGGAATTAGTTGACAGGCCTGCTAACACCAATATTGTTAGAAATAAGTGGGTGTTTAAAATCAAAAGAGATCAGAGCGGCCAAATTGCAACATATAGAGCTCGTTTGGTGGCAAAGGGGTTTACTCAAAAATATGGAGTTGATTATACTGAAACTTTTTCCCCTGTTGTCCGTTTTTTTAGTTTGAGACTTTTGTTTGCAATGGCAGCTGAATTGAATCTTGAAGCTGATCATCTTGACGTTGAAATTGCATTCCTTAATTTTGACCTGAATGAAACAATATATATGTGTCAACCTGATGGCTTCGAGGAGCCTGGGTTAGAAAATAAAGTTTGTTTGTTAAATAAAGCTATTTATGGACTCAAGCAATCATCTCGTTTTTGGTATGAAAAAGCCAGTAGAGTTTTGCAAAAATTAAACTTTGTGCAGTCTGAGATTGAACCCTGTTTGTATTTTAAAGGTACAGATAACTCCATTGTCATCGTGGCTTTGTATGTTGACGATTTTTGTTCTTGTCAAGTCATACTATGGTTATGTATATTGTTTAACCAGTGGACCAATATCGTGGGAAAGCAGGAAACAAAAGATTTTAGCTCTCAGCTCAACAGAGGCAGAATATATAGGTATGTGTGAAGCTACAAAAGAGGCATTGTATTTAAAATCTTTGATTGATGAGCTCTTCACTACTAATAGTGAGTGTCAATTTTTAAATGTATCACAGGCATGTAGAGTATATAATGACAATCAAAGTGCCATAAAATTAGCCCAAAATCAAATATTTCACAAGCGTACAAAACATATACATGTGAAATACCATTTCTTACGAGAAAAAGTTAGAGATGGTAGTGTTACTTTTCTATACATGTCAACTAATGACTTGGTAGCCGACTTACTTACAAAAGGTCTGGCTAGTAATAAACACTTATATTTATGTGGTAAACTAAGCTTGCAGTGATTTAGCTGTAATTTAACTTAAAATGGGACTAAAATGTGGTATCTTATTGTACTCGCCTATGTAACGCAAATATTGAGGGAGAATGTTGGAATACAATACTTTGCGTGTTAGGTACATTTATTTGTATAAGTAATATGCAATACATATTGCGTTTACGTCTCTTTATCTTTGCCTCTCAGTACCGTAGGTATTGGTTTCACTTGCTCTCTGTATTTGACTGTCGTGTGCGCGTCATGTAAAAATGTGTGTTGTAACTTCTGTATAATAAACGGCCGGTTATTTTGTACGTACTTATTTTATTGGCAAACGTTGATACAAGTAATGAATTCCGCTTGTGCTTATCGCCCTGCAACAGATACTACAGTGCAATAAACAACAGGTCATAATATATTGAAGGGCAGAGACAAGCATCCTACCTCTTTCACTAGTGTTAGGTATTTCGATCGTGCAACGGATGCTAAGGGCAGAGACACTCGAAGTATCCTGTCGCAAATAATCACACAGGCAGTGAAGGGCAGAGATATGCGACAGTGGAATAAATAAGTTAGGCCAATAAAATGAAAACATCATGAAATGCAACTACTGTATACTCGAATGCACGGTTAACCGAGAAATGCCGGAAAGATATTTCTTAAAATGTCACTGCACCCCAAAACCATGTTTATTATGAATGACGCCCGTCTTCTAATCGATATTCTGACAGAGCGAGGGGCGAGAAATGCGTTTTTTTAAGAAAACATCTGGCTCACAAGTGGTTGCTTATTGCGTCGTATGTACAAAAATTTTATAGGGTAGCTTAAAAAATATATGCGTCTTACAATATGTACATATTTATTCCGCTGTCAGAATTCTTTATTGATAAAAGGGTATTCGTTTAAGGAGACTATTTATTAAGAAGTGAGTATTTGAAACATTAGTAATAACAACTAAATAAAGCGAATTAAATTACAACTCAAAGCAAATTAGGTGTTTGCCGGTGAGGCAGAAAAAAAGAAGTCGCTTAGAATTTAAAATGTAGACGAGGAACTACCGGATCGTATTCCACTATAATAACGGATCTAAGGTGTTACATGCCCTTCCTTACATTCAAAACATGACCACATATCAACAGTTCTGAAGAATGTAACGTCAACACCAGATTTACCACTAGTCCAAAAATTTCTCAACATCTTCGATCCATCAAAGACAAATTTCATTTGGGATGCCAGGGCTTTACAACATTCCATACATATGCGGTAAAGAATACATTGGAGAGACCGGACGAAAAATATCAACTAGGTTCAAAGAACATGAAAGAGCCTTAAGGCTAAGACAAATAAACTCATCGGCAGTTGCCGAATACAATCATGAAGTCGGAGGTCAAATTTTATTCGATAAACTAAAATTCTTGCATGTAATCGGTTCTTCTACCAACGAAAAATCCGAGAGTCGATAGAAATCTTTAAGCAACCTAACAATCTCAACCGCGACTCAGGTCTGTACCTGTCACGAATATAGGAATCAGTTAGCAGAGACGATGGTGATGCCCCTCATTTAGCTCCTCCCACCTCAAGCAATATAAAAGCAGGTATAGAGTAAAATGCGAGTCAATTTTAGTTGAGCACTGAAAATGCCAATAGGATGATTAGCGAAACGTTTGCTAGTTCGACTCAACAAAAACCGACGCAGGAGGAATCCAGAAGTTTTACAAAAAGTATAGTACAAATATGTATAATAGGTAGAAATTGTCTTAAAATTCCTTCAGGTGGTAATTTTTTTTTCTTCCTTTCTCTGTAACTACATTCGGACCGGGTTAAACAGAGGGTCTTGCAGCTTCAGCAGAAACTTTATTGATTGCACTGAATAAATAAATCAAATTAATAAGTAAAAACTGCTTTGATCAAACGGAGTGTTTTTAACTTAGTTGTCAGTACTTCTGTTGTCGCTTCAATAGCCTTTCAATTTCATGGGGTTCAAAATAAAGCTCACACACCATAAGATGAGAAAGTTTTTAACTTGCTTGGTATTTGGTTTCTAAATTACTCTACATTTATCGAAAACTATTTCGGTAAGGCTCGCCTTTATGTTTTGGTTAGAACAAACCATACAGCTATTAGATAATATAGTGACCCTGCTACGGTAAAAATTCATGCGCCTCGGATAGAGAAGGGACTGATTCCTCGCGCATGTCCGTACATTTCGCCCACAAACATGCACTTTGTACCATTTTCATTCTAAACGGTGATTTCCACTCACTTAACTCGTCTTATCAGAACATTTAACGAGAACTAGGCAAATTTTGAAAAGAATGAAATTTCGCGCATGCGTATGTTGCGGACCTTCTCAATTTTTTTCAACAACCGACGCAGGAGGAATGCAGAAGTTTTGTAAACAGTATTACAAGAGCCTGTGGAAGTTTCTTTAAAAAATTGATAATAGGAAGTACTTATTGCCTACTTTTACTATACTTTTACTTTACTATTTACATAATTTCTTTACTTTACTACCTAGTTTACTTTCTGGTTGGAACAGCATCGTACTTTAAACTAATTTTTTTTTGAATTATACTCAACAATGTGACACCTATTATTTTAAACCACAATGGGAATCACTCTCCGGCAGCGACAAATCCCCACTTGTGTGGGCACGTTCTTATAAGCCAACAATAAAATCGACAAATTGGAAATCGGTCTGGTTTCCGATTCGTCGAGATTATCGACGGCTTCTGCTGCTGAATCGGCTTATTTGACTAGTCGGAATTTGTGTGAAAGAATCAATTTCATTGTAGTGGACCCTGCGGTGGTACCGGTACCGGTACCGGCGTCTGCTTTATCGGTGTGTGTGTGAAAGCGGCCTAATAATGTTTACAACTTTTTTTGTATATAACATTGACTCACCCTGTACTCCAAACATATTTTATCCAGTTGAAAAAAGTATAAAAGTGCAGCCACCTTTTATGTAGTGTTTTTAAAAATTAATCACTGTGGTAAAAGAAGCTTAGCTGTACTGAAAATTGCACAACTTACCGCTGCAAAATGCGGGTAAAAGCAGAGCACAAATAATTAAACACAAGTTCATTTTTGTGTGAAATATGGATCGATATAACCAAACGAAGAAAAGCGTTGGCAGCTATTTATACATGTTTTAAATAACGAAATAATAAAAAAAAAACAGTAATTTTTGATATGGTGCGTAGGTAATTTAGCAACCAATAGATAAACGGATAGATGGTTAGCCAACTTAAATTGGTACGTAATTGACGAGGTCAGGCCATTTTTGTTCGAATGACACTACAAATAATTAGGTATTACAACGTTTTTTACGTAGCAACAACAGACAATATTATACCACAAATCAGCACATCTGAAAATCATTGTGCGCATTTGCATTGCATTGTCGAGTTTCACCGTTGATGAAATTTTAACCGTTTACTGCGAATGGTACATTGGATTGTTCTAAAAGTAGCATCAATATTTAAATTTTAGTTGGCACACCATGTATATTATTGCATTTTCCAACGCGTGGATAGTTTATTTATTATTGATATGATTATTTTTGAATAATACGTTTTTATACCTATCTTTAGTGGTTTTAGACAGATTAATCATTTTCTTCATTTATCGATCAAAACATGGCTTCAATTAAATTAGAAAATTAAAATTTTGGTCGTAGCTTAGGGAGGTACAGAGATAATGACTATTAATTAGTCTAATACATCTCTTTTTATGTTATATTGCTTCACAACATGCGTAATCGAAAATGGCCATAAATTCCTCCCTCCTTATAGTGGAGTTAAAAACCTGTAAAAGTCGCTTCCTTCCTGAAAAAAAAAAATCGCCTTAGAACCAAATGATAATCGAGTGGTTTTTTTCAAGACATCAAGTATGAGAATTGGGACTTTTGTATTGCAATTGTCAATAAGTATTTGGAAAATATTCATATTATATGCAGCGAATAGTATTCGAAATACATTTTTATTTGTAAGTTTTTGAATAGGCAAAATATATATTCTTTTCAAAAGAATTTAGAAATTTTCATCCAAACATTCCGTTGTGCTCTAGAATTTGCAAGTACATTCTTCATAGCACTTTAAGCACTGCGCATTTATTGCTGTTGCAGGTGGCATCAGAACATGGCAAAACCAGCATATTTCTGATTTTATATGATACAGGATCTTGTGTGGAAAATATTTGTCCATTCATATTTATTCGACGTGGAATACAAAATTTTCAGTTCTAATATGCACCTAAAATAATAATAAAAAAAAACGTTATAGTATTGATCTAGCATGTACCCATGTACCCATGTACCCATATGTTTTCAAACTTTTTCTAAATTGATAAGAAACGTTTATCTTTCAAATGCCCCAATTAGATTTCGATTCCTGAATGAGTTCCATAGCATCAGTAATAAAAGAATTTACATTTAGATGTAAATCCATTTTCTCAATATTTTGTTGCAATCTATGACACAATTCAGACTTTGCAGATAATTGTATCTTCATGAAATAGTGCTGGAACCATAATAGGTTATTTAAATCAATTTCATGGAATCTTGCTGCACAGAGTATTCCACGAAACATGAAATCCGACCCTACAAACATTTCTTAGGAAGATTTACGGGCTTCTTAGTTGAACAGACCTTTCGAGGATGTTAGTTGTCTTGTCAGCAGTTTTTTGCAAATAATTTGATAACCTTTTTTCAATTTCTTTTATAGCTACCTTTCCGGCGCACATATTTATGAGATATTTGAGAACATCAATTAATTAATTAACCGTAAATTTATTGCATTTTGTTTTACTAAAATATTCCATTTTTTATATTAATCATACATTGTTGGGGTATTATTAATGAAGGTTGATTAATTGATTCAATTGTATTCTGATTAGTAGAGGAGAAGGAAACTTTTTCTTCTAAACTTTGAACGAAGATAATAGAACTCTTCCGTAGTTGAGTGGCTGAAGTATTATTATAATGGGCAGGTGTGATTGGACAAGGAATATCTTTAAAATTGTATAGAAATAATCACACTTTAGACACGAGCATTGTTAAGGATTACTATTTAATTATTTATATGAATCGGGTATATATTGGGTACATTCGAAATTAGTGGTAAAGTAATATGGAATATAATTAGTTTCTTTCTCTATAATTATCCCTACGTGTGCGACTTCATAACACTTTATTATATTACCGAAAGGGATCTTTTTGACAGATGTTTTAATTTTGAAAACTGATTTTATATAACTTTGGTAGGCTGCTTTTTACAAAACTTCTGGATTCCTCCTGACATGACATTTTAATATCTAGTGCATTACTGTCTTGTTAAAAATGGACTTTACCTACTGTCAAAATTGGAAAATTTATGTAATGAAAAATGCCTCAAAATGTTACAGGAAAATTTTGTAATAATATTCAAAACTGGAATTAATATAAATCCAATTTTCAAGCATTAAAGACCTATTACCTATTTATTTGAATTCCGTTCAAAAAATACTAGTTCCACACTACTGCTGCTATAGGGTATTCAAAATGAAATTACTTTATAAACAATGTAGGTTTTTGGAAGAGCCTGCAGAAAAAATAAAAATATGTATATGGAGCGCCTTAAGAAAATCAGGATTTTTCAATTTAAAATAATATAATTCAAAGTAACGTTAATATCAAATATGAGCCATCTGCCTTCAAAACTGATGTAGGTATTGTAATTTTTTTGCTAGTGTGAAAACAAGTATTTATTTGGAATAATTAAATTATTGTAAAATCTATTAGGTTCGGTATGTTAATAAAAAATTTAACAATAGGGTGATCCATTTTAAAAAATGTATGTTCTTATTTATCAAGCTTTTTTGAGCCAACGAGTATACTTTAAAATAATTTTACAACTTTTGTATATGTCGCTGACTCACCCTGTAATTCAAACAGCATGTGTTATCCAGTTAAAAAAGGAAAATCGTTGTTTTAAATGACTGAGCTGAAAAAAGTTCAAAGCAATTGGCAGCAATTTGAAAACCGTGTGCATACTGTATCCTGACAGTTCTGTGATACACTGCATACAGAAATATTTTTTTAAATTTGTTTTTCCGACAAATGTTTTACATCGTTTTGTAGATATATTTTTTTCTAAGAATTTATCACAATTACTTAACCCTCGTCGGTGCTTATTGCCATAGCAACAGAAGATTGGCTGTAATGAAAATTGCATAACTTGCCACTGCAAAATGTGGGTAACAGCAGAGCACAAATAATTTCATTTTTGTGGGAAAATTGAATCGATATAGCGAACCGAAGAAAAGAGTTGGCGGTTATTTACACATGCTTTAAATAATGATGTAATATTAAAACAGTAATTATTGATACGTTGCGTTAGCGATAAAGCGAAAAATAGATAAACAGATAGATGGGTAGCGAACGTAAATTGGTACCTAATTGTCGAGCAGAGGCCGTTTTCGTTTGAAATTCATTGTATATAATTAAGTATTCAAAAAAACAATAACTTCTCACAAAACGCAAAAATTTAATAGATAATGTTATACCCCAAATCAGCACAAATACGATTTCAGTTAAATATTTTCTGTGGAGAACCAAGTAACTGATTGGTTTCTTCTGGAATTTTGAGATCATGTCGTGGTTTATTTAATTTTGACAATATGTTTGCTTTCCTTGCGTTTTTTATTTATGTTTTCACTTAATTAATGAAATACTTGCGCTAATTCATAATCTGTTTGAAGTTGAATGTTCGGTTGTGTTCAGGTTTTCGCAGACAATATTCGGTTCCAGTTAGGTCACCCGACATATTTAAAGCTGTTGTGTTACTTCTTTGTGTTCCTTTCGGCAATTTTCGACTTTTTTGTATCCCTTCGATATATACTGTAAACACTTGTTGGAAAATTTGGACAGTAATCTGGTAAAATTACAAAAGCAATATAGTTTCCATATTTTTGGAATAACTTTGCAATTCTACTGCATTACGAACTTAACAGTAACTACATTTCAAATACCAATAAAATTTATGTTTAGTTATGTAAAATTAAGGTAATTTTTATCGTTGAAATCGAGTATTTCACATAATCGTCATTGCAAATCCAGGGTAAATTTACAGAAATCATTGAATATAGAAATTGATAGTCGCGATAAGTTCGCAGAGCGTAGCACATTATTTTTTGGCTCCGATTAAACAGCATAATATATCTCCCGCTAAAGTGCGAATATTTTCCTCGTTTTTTATCCAAGTAGTAAATCGCGGGAGCTGCGTATTGTATTAGATCATCAAGAGACTTATTAAAAAGTAATACAATAATTAATTGATAAGGAATTATTTCGCAGCTATTTACATTACATTATTTGGTATTCGTTGAGAGGCAAAAAACGGAATTGTTTTCTGTTGTCAAGGAGGCGTCGTAAAAAATTATAAGTGAAATTTTAAACGACAACAGTTTCTTGGATTCGCTGGCTAAGAAGGTATATTGTAACCCAGAGAATCGACGAACGGATAGTGACATTAGAAGCTAAAGTTGATATTATGGAAGGGCAGTTAAAAAATTTTCTGATAGAAAAAGACGAACTTTATCTTAAAATGGATCGACTGGAACAAAATGCGAAACTTAGTCGACTTCGTTTATATGGTCTTCCTGAGGATAATGCTGACCTAAAGACTAAGGTCATGGAAGATAAAGTCAATATTTTCAACATTAATATCGAGCGTTGCTGTCGTATTGGTAGAAGTCAGAATGCAAGATTTTCAAAGCCAAGGCCAATTATCATACAATTTTCATCTCTCAGTCAAAGAAATCATGTATTTTATCACAAAAAGAACCTCAAAAATACCAACTTAGTGATCGTTGAGGAGCTTACTCTACGCAGATACAGTTTGCTAATGTTGGCGAGGGATAAAATTGGCAGGGACAAGACATGGACAACGGAGGCGAAAATTTTTGAGAATATAAATGGAAATAAGACTTTCTTAAAAACGGAGGATGAAATCATCAAATATTGCAACAAATAGATGAGGACCGAAAGTCCGAATGTATGTTTTGGTATTGGTACATTTATTGGCGATATATTTTTTTTCCTTCCTCAATATTGCGTTTTTTTTCTATATTTTTATTACTGTTAAAATTAGCTTATAGATTTTTTT